GCCGCCGCGTTTTTAATAACCGCTGCAGCCGCTGTTATCTCACTCAGCTCATCGGCAGCGGACTTTTGGGCAGTATGTGTGTGTTGGGAGTGGGGGAGTGCGGGGGGGAGGGAGGGGGCATATCCTGTGCCCTCGCAATTATCGGTGGCGAGTGGCGTGCGTACAAATTACCGTTATTAGGTGTGATCGTGCGAATTTCACAAAGGCTCCCCACTTAAGCGCACAGCTCACAGCAAATCCAAATCCAACCCAAAACAAATTGCCAGCCTCAAGCTCGCAGAGCTCGCAGAGTTCGCAGCAGCAACTGTTTCAGTTTTCACTTTTGAAAATCACGCGTCGAAAAGTGACAATTTCCGCCCGTTGTTGTTGGTTTTCTTTTTACCCCCGCCTCAAACGGCCATAAAAAGTCAAATTAATGTGTTGACAACAGGCCACAGCAGCATAGATTCGAGATAAGCAAAAACCAGAACAAGCCAAAGCCCACAGCGACAACAACTAAGCATAGAGCGACAGACTAGCAGATACCCTGTTTTTTTTTTGTATTCAGATAATTCAATTCCCATTAACAATTTTGTCATAAGCTTGTGACTAGCTCTTCAAAACTTTGAGAAACATTCAAAACTGTCGCGTTGCAAATCGATATTTATCGTTTTTGGTGTAATTGCAATCGAAGTGTGCAGATTAGTTAGTTAGTGTGAGCTTATTCAAGGCAAAAGCGAAATTTGTTATGTGAAGCTCTTAGCATCTACGCGATATGTTTAAACTCACTTGGACTGGAAATCGATATTTATCGATTGTGCGTTAATTTGAATTTGAAGAATTTTGTGTATCCGACTAGATCGACAGCCTGATCAATAATATATATGTAAGCTGCCCGCTTCTTCCAGCGGCTACACACATTGTCTTACTTTCAACATACCCATTCTGTGCATTCTCAATGGGCATAAGAAGGGCGACAGATTTGACGCGCACGATAGCCAAAAACTGACAAACTGTAAATCCTGTAAATTCGTTGACCTACTCCATCACGTCTAACACTTGTTCGATGCGTACGTGATGCGAGTGAAGGGTTCCGGAGTTAGGATTGCAGTAGCTCAGCTCTTCAGTAGCTGCTGTACGGAATTCCAATTAGTCTTAATGAACAGAACTGTCACATAAAGTACGTAATTAATTGTCATATCGATATCGATATCGATATCGTTAGATAGCTAGAACAGACGCGGCAAATCGGAGTTGTTGACACTTGGAGTGTGCTTCCGTTCGTTGCAGCTTGCCAAAGGACGCGATCCAGGGAGAGAGGTAGAAACTCAGCCAGAGAAGTGAAAACATTTGCTGGAGTTCTTAGAAGAACCCCAGTCACAAATTGCGTGCCAGTTGAAGCGAGTGTATATATATTTGAGGGAATGTTCTAGAATAAGAATTAAGAAACAATTTGGAGACATATTTGCTTAACAACTTTACAGATATAGAATATATATAGATCAATGAAGCTTATTTGATGAAAATATGTTGGAAAAAGAAAATATTTTTCCTTAGAAGAAACTACTCAACTACCGACCGATTCCTATGATAAAGTGGTCCGATTTTGTTAAGATTTTGCATATATATGGAGAGCATATAGTTATCTTTATAAACAGAAAAGTTTTCCTAGAAGAACCTAGTTTTCGAGCTAGCGTTCCTATGGCAGCTATATAATATAGTGGTCCGATTCGAAGATATGTTTCTAGGGTTTCAAGACAATAGCTTTCCGACTGAGAGACTGGTTCGCATACAGACAGACAGATAGACAGAGCCGATCTATAATATATACACTATATAGGATCGAAGACATCTCCTTCGCATTTCTTGAGAAACTTCTAACATCCCCTACGGGGGCACATTTATGTAACTCGCCAATGGGATTTACAATATTCCGATTGCGAGCCAATCTGAACGCTAGAGGGCGCTGCACGAAACCCATTAGATTCCATTACATCCAATTGGACTCTAGTATGAGCCACAGATGCCGCCAGCTGTCGGCTTGACCTGGCAACTCTGGCCATCCCGTTTGATCCTGTGAGCTGCTCCTGCGGCAGCTACCTGTTGTCGTTGGCAACGCCCGAGCATTACGTGCACTTTAATTAATCAAAATGGATATGCTGAAGCTAATTAATATATATATGCTACCAAAACATTTTCTCGCTCTTCTGCTCGTTTTCTTTTCTTTTTTGTTTTTTTTTTGTGGGTGTGTTGTAGGTAAAATGTAAAAATGAAAAGAGTTGAAAATGAATTTTCCAGCAGGATTTTAATTTTCTAATCAATGGGCGTGCAGGCGATGACGCAAGCCATTTGCCACTGCAGCATATTAGAAATGCATTAATGAAATGGAATTTACTCGAAAAATTCGTTGGCAGCTTTTAAAAAACGATTAAACGATTTTCTTGAGCGGCTGAAAACGTCAGAACCTTCAGCCCGAGCCCGCAATCCGCCCGGAATTGCACTCGTTGTGGCAGCTGCTTAGGGTTAATCAACGTTTTTTTTTATCCCTCTCTTTTTTTTATGCATTTATGGGCCGCAATCTCGTTACGGCGAGATGCAGTGCACATCAACTGTAACGGTAACTGCAGACGCATCCATGAACCCGAGCTTGAGCCCGGGACCCTGCCCTGGACCCTGCCCTGAACAACATTGTTGCGGCCCATAACAAATTTATGAGCGTGCTTTATGGGGGCCACTTCCATTGTTGCGGGCGTATAAATAGCCAGTGAGACGCACGTGGACACGTTTGCGCCTAGCGCCAAGAACTTCACGTGCTCCAACAAAAAAAGCTCAACTGCAAAGATGCCCTGTAACCAGCGCAAAAGCATATTCGGCTGGGGATTGTACAAAATCTCGCAATATATATGCAAATATTGCCAAACACTTGAAGTATCTGACTCGAGTTCGAATAGGTTCTCAATTCATGGGAATGGAATAGCTGGCACTGCTGAGGATTTAGTTAAAGGTTATGCCAAAGATTTGAAATTTGTGAAAATCTATATACAATCTTAAAATAAACTAACGCCAAGAGTATTCGGATAATTCTGTGCAAAGAGCTCACTTACCAAACCTGCTGAGTATAGGTCATATAGTTCCCGAGTTCTTTGAGATGGGCATAGATATAGATCTTATATATATATATCAGCAACGGCTTCTTCTGTAAAAGAAAGAAAACAACAGATTAGGTACTTAACATTTATCGATACCAAATTCTACAATATGGAGTATCTGTTAGCATTGCTTATCTATTGAATCTCTAGGTTTATGTCTACAGATAACTAAATACCACATATTCTAATTGTAACTCTTGCAGTTCCCGAGCTCATATAGATGGGGTGTATATATAAATATTGGCATCAAATTATTTATGAAGTACCCATACGAAGTCTAGTCAAGCTCTTATACCAAATTTTCTGGGGGTAACTCTTAAAGTTCCCGAGTTCATATAGTTGGGCTAAGCATATCCCTCATATAAATAAATATATATAGAGTTGCGATTTAATACCAAGAACATTTATATTGTCTTGAAGTTCTCATGTACCAAATTTGCTAGGGGTAGCTCTATGAACCCATATGTAAAATTTGCTAAGAATAGCTCTCATAGTTCTCGAGTTCACATATAATCATTTACGAAGTAGTTAACTATGAAGTATACAGATATATGAAGTCTAGATGTGCTCATATGCCATATCTATTCATGCCATATAAATAGGACCTCTAGATTGCGTGTAACTTACAAAATCGAATATGCCCCGTCGCTGAGACACACGAGGTATACGAGGCTGAGCATGCCAGACACTGTCAGGCGTCTGTCAGGCACATCAAGTTGCAGCTTCGTGACAAAGCTTCAAGCAAATGAGTCGCAATGCAGCCAAGGGCAGCCCCTCTCGGCCCACCCGCTCGCTCTGTCAGGCACGCAGCACTTGATATGCATGAGACGGCACACACTTGTGGGATTTTGTTGTTGTTGCCTTATGTTAATCAGCCTCGGAATCGGAAGCACGTGTCAAATGCGGCAATGCGGCAAATGCTTAATGCAAAAGAACAGTTGCCTCAACGTCTGCTGCCCCAAGGCCAACAGACAGAGCGCACAGATCACAGATCACAGAACCCCAACAAGTCATCCACTGTGGCATGCAGCTAGGTGCCAAATGTTGGGAGAGCCAGCGGGAAGGGGGCGCAGGGGGAGGTGGGACAGAGAGCAGCGGCGCACACATGATGGATCACATTTTTATATGGTAGAGAGTGCGTAGTTTTTTTGTTGTTTTTTTTTTTGCATTCTACTTTTCTCTCATGCATTTTGTTTTTTATGATATTTTTTATTTATTATTTTTTTTTGGCCTGACAAAAAGTGGAAGTGCATTGAAAAGCGAGTTTGCTTCATTCTTTAGATTCTTTTGCTTCTTATGAGCGTGCGTGAGAGTGTGTGTGCCTGTGTGTGTGTGTGTGTGTGTGTGTGTGTGTGTGTGTGTGTGTGTGTGTATTTTGTGACAAGGATCAGCAGTTAGGATCATTGTGCATAAGATTTAAGTCTCGATTTCGATGTAGTTTTTCCCAAACTGAAAACCTTAAGAAAAACGAGAGACAAGAAGAAAATGCGGCACAAAAGCAATTGTGACATACAAAAACCAGAGCTACGGACAAGTTGAATGGGCTGGCCGCAGCGAGAGGGAGAGAGAGATAGCGAGCGAGGGAGAGAGAGAGAGAGAGAGAGAGAGAGGGCACCCACATGAACAGCAGAGCAACCCCTAGCGTTTAACCCCTAGCTCTGCAGAGAGCGAGAGAGAGGGAGAGAGCGAGAGAGAGAATGCGCGATCACTTGTGCAAGGCAGGTAGTGCGATCTGCCGCAGTCGACGTTGGCAGCGGCAGCGGCAGCGAGAGCGCTCGGAGCAGCTACTTAAGGGCGAGCGCGCAGGACGAGGTTTATCATTGCGGAATTTGATTCCAGACAGTCAACAAGCAGCTAAACGGAATAAAAAACATGACGAGCATCTGCAGCAACTATACGCACTTTCAGCTGACCAACGGCAACATTATGTTGCTGCATCAGCAGCAGCAACAATTGCAGCAACAACTGCAGCAGCAACAGCAACAACAATTGCTGCAACACCAGCAGCAACAGCAACAACAACAACAACAGCTGATTGCGCCCAAGCTGCCGCTGGGCAACAGCCAATTGCAGAACATGCAACATTCGACAATTGGCCCAATGCTGGCCAAAAAGAAATACAACTATTCGAATCTGCCGTACGGCGGCGGCGAACAGCTGCCGTCGGTGGCGCGTCGCAATGCACGGGAACGGAATCGTGTCAAGCAGGTGAACAATGGCTTTGTCAATTTGCGCCAACATTTGCCACAGACTGTCATCAATACGCTATCGAACGGCGGACGCGGCGCCAGCAAAAAGCTATCCAAGGTGGACACGTTGCGCATCGCTGTCGAGTATATACGCGGTCTGCAGGATATGCTGGACGATGGTCAGCCAAGGCGCCAGCAGCTGTACGACGGCCTGGCGGACGAGAGCAGCAACGATGGCAGCCATGACTATAACGACTATAACGATAGCCTGGACAGCAGCGGTGACGGCGGCCTGGCCACTGGACAAAAATATGCCAGACATTCGTATCACTCCAGCTCGCCCACGCATTCGTATAGCGATGATGCCTCCGATTTGTCGGCCAGCTGTGTCAAGCAGGAGCTCACCGAACACGAGTCCGAGCAGCAGCAGCAGCAACAACAACAGCAGCAGCAGCAACATTTCAAATTCGAGTCCTTCGATAGCTTCAGCGACGAGCAGCCCGATGATGAGGAGCTGCTCGACTATATCTCCTCGTGGCAGGAACAGTGAGCGAGATCTGTGCAAAAGCAAAGCCTGTACAAACTGTATATAATCAGCAAAAAAAAAAACAACAACAACAAAAACTGTTGCCTTAGTGAAAACAAAAAACACAAAAACAAACCAAGTCCCAGATTCTAGAAGTTTCCTAGTTTTAACAACAACAACTCTTTTTTTTCATAGTTTAAGCATGGAAGACAATGATATAAAACCACAATTTTTTTTCATAGTTTTAAGTTTTTGTTATAAGCATGGAAGACACTAAACTAGCTAATAAGTATTATTATTATTATTATTATTATTATTATTGAAATGCAATAATAGCAACAAGAAATTAAAAAAACAATTCAAAAACGAAATTTAAACAAACTCTTCTCATTGAAACAGTTCTCATATATTTCAGCAAAGTTTCAGAAAATCCAAAGCAAAGTGCACAGAATGTGAGAGAGAGAGTGAGTGAGTGAGAGAGAGAGAGGGAGAGAGAGAGAGAGGGAGCGAAATATTTGCTATGGAAAGTTCAAGCTTTTGAGGATCTTAAACCTAAACTTATGTAAGTTGCAATTCTAAAATAGTCAAGTGAATCTGCAATGTAATAATTTCCTGCCAAAGCTAGCCCATGGAAGAGGCCCATAGATGAGGCTGCTCGCTTCAAGATCTGCAGAGCAAGAGCGAGAGAGACAGAGGGGAAAAGAGAGAGGGGGAGCTGCACTTAACTATAATCACAACTTAGTCAACCAATTTCCATACTTTAACTGATACTTAACGAGAAAGAAAGGCTATCTGCGGCACGCCGAAGATCTAACACCCTTGCAGAGCCAACCTTTTCATAATGCTCATTGTGCTTTGCCCGTATCTAAGAAACACAGGGAAAATAGTTAATGCCGAGTTTTGGGCACGATATCTTGATAAACAAAAAAGGGTTTTTAATCAAAAACCTAGTTCTCGACCGATCGCTCCTATGGCAGCTATATGCTATAGTGGTCCGATCCAGCTGGTTTTCACATATGTGCTGCGTGCAAAGGAAAGAGATACTTCTGCAAAGTTTCATTAAGATAGCTTCGCTTAGAAACAGACAGACGGGCAGACGGACATAGCTATATCGACTCGGCTGTTGATGCTGATCAAGAATATATATGCCTTATGAGCTCGGAGTTGTCTCCTTCGATGCGTTACACATTTCACAACAAAATTATAATACCCTCTGCAAGGGTATATAAAGATTTCGAGAATTCAGGCAACTATCTTATCCGCATGTCTGACTATAATTTATAGCACTTTTTTACACTCAAGTGCTTTGAAATAGATGGAAAACGAAACCATTTCCATAAATGCAGCAAATGGCAAAGTAGTTGAAACTATTTGAAGAGCACACGAGTTGCTGTCTATGAGTGAAAGTTTTACTAGGAGCTAATTGTCTATATATGTATATGTGCATATACCTCTGATATCTCTATTGTTTTCAGATCTATATAAATGTCTATGCAGTAGTATTTTATGGAAATTTTAGTATGTTTCTCTCTCTTAAACATTCTACATTAACCTGAGCTTGATTTTAGCGCTAGCACACATCAAATATCATATATCATATCGTTGTGTGGCCAAAATTATAGCTAGATTAATATGAAGTGCGGCTAAAATTATAGCTAGATCGATTTAGATGAAAAGTAGCTATACTCCAACAAAAACTAAAAATAGCTAAATCATTTAATGTATATATAATACAAGTTATATATGTATCAAAAATCCGAGTCAGCCGACTTAGATATTTTTCCGATTTTTCTACTCAGGTCTTTTTTGATTTCTAAGCAAATTTTGGATTATATCCTTTAGCTAAAATGCTTTAGAGTTGTATTTGATCGACAAGAGTTTACATACCAAATTTTTCGGACATAGCCATAAAAGATCCTGAGATAATAGAGTTCAATGCAAGGAAATCGGCACAAATCTTTTGCTCAAAGTACATTATTGAAAACTTTTTTTGGAGAGTCTTTATGGCATTTTAAACTAATTTATATCGATTTGTGAACAAGAGTAAGGCATATATATATCCATATATATATATATATATATCTATCTATCTATATATCCACATATATATTCCCTTGTTGAAGGCAATTCGCATGACAAATTTGCCAGCTCCAACTCTTTTGGCAGCTGGGTGCTAATCAGGAAGAGGGGCGGGCTTTATGCTTTACAGGGCCAGAGATAGCTGAGCATGAGCATGAGTCAGAAGGATATTAGAGGACAGACACTTCCTGCGCGTGGCTCGGGCCAAAGTCCCTGGCAACCCACTCACTCACGCCGGACCGGAAATAACAGCAAAATATTTGTTGAAATATGTTTTATTTATATTTTACGTAGTTTTTAACAAGTTTCAATTGGCGCATAAATTGCCTGGCAACAGGAAATAGACAGTCACGCCTGAGAGGCTGAACAGGACCAGCTGAAGGAGCAGAGCTGCGAGCTAGGCGCAATCGCGGAACCCACGTGTCTGGCGCACCCCAGCTTACGAAAAGAAAAAAACAACAAAAACACACACAACAACAAGAAAAAGCTGGACGTAATCACAAGGCATAAAATGCACTTCCGGCTGGGCGTTGTGCTGCGCGGGGTAGAAAGTTGCGACGCGCCGCGCCGCGCCGCACCTCGCTTAGCTACCCCTAAATGAAGCGCACTCAACCCCAACTGAATAAAACAACAACAAGAAGAAAACAAGGACAAAGACGAGTACGAGCTTGCTTAGGCGTGTGCCAAGACGCAGGACACACGGTAAATTATGTTAAATTGCCCAGGTGGGCTTTGTGTGGAATGCCATCCAAGTATATGCAAATTGCGTGCCACGCCCACAAGGCATATTAATATTAAGATATAAGACATATATGCAAATGTAAATGCCAATGCTGGACACGTGCAGGAATCAAAGGAAGTGCATAGAACTGAGAGATGGATGGATAGATATAGCAGAGGCTGGCGTAGGGTGTTGCCCCGCACGGTTGACCCGCCCCGGCCCGGCAGAGGCGACAGCCGGAAACCGGAGAACGTAGCCAGACAACAATTTTCGGCGAGATTTTGCCTCAAAAACGAGAGAGAGCGACAAAAAAACAAGGTAAGCAAAAAGGACGGAAAGGAAGCAGCTCTAGAGGAAGGCAGGGCCAAGGTACGGTACGGTAGGACAATGCGAAATGTGATTGTATGTCAGCTTAAGATGAGACCAGGGCCAGGATAAGACCAGGAAACAGGAGACAACAGCAGACAGACAGAGAGAGAGAGAGAGAGGGGATGAAATCCGTGCATTGTCGAACGTTAAGCTTAGCTGCCGTCAAGAGAGACAGACGCATGTCCAGCGCAGGACTTTGCCTAGGTGTCAAAATATGAGACTAAGCCAATGTCCTTTAATAGGCTCGAGCTGGAGTTTTTATGCAATTTTAGCTAAGACTTCAGGCGCTCGCCTCAAATAACTCAAACGACGGGCAATTGCAATAAATTCATTTGAGCTCGTCCTTTTGGTCCTTTTCGTTTTTTTGGCTGGCAGGAAGTAACTTCTTTTGTGCGCCACTTTAGATCGAGACATGTCCGCCGTTTCGTCGCAGCTCGCAGCTCGCAGGAAGTGCGTATTTGTTTTGCATCTTGTGGAATATGGAATGTCCTGGCCAGGCGAGCAGGTCTTGTGCTTCTTGCTTCTCTTTTTTTTTCGTTTATTTATTTTTGTAATGTGCGCGAGTGTTTTCCTTAGTTGTCTTTTGGGAAATCCGAGTCGCATGTTATTTTATCGTGTCGCAATTCAAAGAAATTTTGGACGCACACCCGACAAATCTGGCTCTCAGTCTACCGCCCGCCAGAACACTTGGCCGGGTACTTGTAGCGACAACATTTTCCAGTGCCAGGCTGTGAGTTATGTGATTTTATGAAGGCGAGCGCGCGCGCGCGCCCCTTCACTGCACGTGATTTATGAACCATGTGTCAAAATACGAGAGCGCCTCCTCCAAAAAAAATGGAGTGTCCAGCGCATCCTTCCATCGATCAATGGCCATGCCACTCGAACGGTAGGCTTGTCAGATTTCGCACTTAACTAGGCGTCAAGTGAACGTTGTCCTAGCTGTCCACTTTCCTGGTAGCTCATTAATAAGGCGACGCCGAGTGCTACCAGACATGCTAAGACTACTTTTAGCCCCAATTGAGCTGTAACATTCGAGCTGGCACGATCAACAGTCAATAGTTCGTCGAATATGCGAGATCATTTTGTCAAAAACTACCAAGAAAAATCATTAATACGCATGTATTTATATATAACACTCAGCAGCAAGAATTCGTTTGAATGAAGTGCAGATCACTTGCTCAGAGGATCGCTAGAGGATCGTTGCCTTCCAAAACAGACCAAGACAGGGCAGGATAGTCTAGGCAAATATAAAATGTAATCAAAACAGATCAACAGATCTTTAACATTTTTATTTTCATAGCCGATCTTTAATAGATCATATCAAGTCACGATCAATATCTAAGTGACCAGTGCAAGGAAGGAAACTGGAAATCAAATAGAACAATTCAAATCGAAGACCGAATAAGGGGCTCGTCATACACTGAGAGACCGGGATTAACTATTAGCTCAAAAGATCAGTAAGGATCACTGTTTAAATTTCTAGTGATTTATCAGCTTATTAATCTTAGTTCAGTTCATGACTTAAGCTCGCTTTTTAAATGAATAAAGTATCACTCAATAGCTGAGTTTCTCGAGCAGGGATCGGTAGATCACCAATCTTCAGAGATCTTCTACAGATCTTCTACAGATCTTCTGCAGTTACAGATCCTCAAGCATACAGCTTATTCCGTAACAAAAAACGAATGTGACATGCGACAGCAGAAAGTTCTGAATAACATTACAAATTGATCACAGAATCATGCTGATCACTTAAAGACATAAGACACTTCGTGCCAAGATCAGCCGATCCTTGGCTTCAAAATCAAATGTTCCCTCAGACAGATAACCAAACGCAACAACAGAACAAAGTATTGAA